GCGGCGGCGGCGGCGGCGGCGGCGACAAAAGGCGCCAACGGCCTCTCGCTCTCGCTCTCTCTTCTGGACGCAGGCGCGCAGCGGGAGCGCTGGTTGGCCGCTTGGTGAGGGGAGCGGGCGGGGCCTGGGCGTCCTTACGGCGCTCCCAAGGGACGCCGGGAGATGTAGTCCCCCTCCCGTGCCCAGGCCCCGCCTCTTCCTCCCTTTCTTGACTGAGAGGGCGAGCAGCCAATCCGCGCCTCGTTTCCCCGGAAACGCTCGAGAAATTCAAGGGGCGTGGAGGCGGAGGCCTGGCCTCTTGCGCTAAGCCGGGCCAGCCCTGGATGGGAGTTGGGTGGGAGGCCGACAGGCTCCCTGTCAGAGGAAGGAACTGGCAAAGCCTCCTTCTGAGCCTTCCTTGCCTTAAGAAAACCCTTTGAGAAGTCCATAGGGTCGCCATAAGCCAACAGGGGACTTGAAGGCATGAAGAACTGGGGGCCTGAATGTCCTAAACGGCACCGGAGGCCCTCAGACCTTGGAGGTTAAGCAGGGTCAGCCCTGGATGGGACTCGGGTGGGAGACCACCATCCCATGCCAGGCACTGGGGGCTCCATTTCAGGGCAAGACCGGGCACAGGCCACCTCTGAGGCCCCTTGCCCAAGAAGGCCCCTCTGCGAAGAAATTCATGGGCACACAACAGAAGACAAGGGCCCAAGAAAAGACCCTGAAGGCACCAGATGCCCATGGTCAGTCTTTGGATGGGAGACCGCCAGTGAGGGCCAGGTGCTGGAGGCTCCATTTCAAGGGAAGGGACTGGCAAAGGCCACCTCTGAGAAGAAATTCTTGGGGTCTCCCATAGGTCAAGAGGTGACTGACTGGAAGGCACGCACAAATGAAATAAAACCTTCCAGTTACTAAAAAACAATCTCGTAGAGTCATAGAGTTGGAAGGGACCCCAAGAAGGGCCATCCAGTCCAGCCCCATTCTGCCATGCAGGAACTCCCAATCAAAGCACCCCCTGTGACAGGTGGCCATCCAGCCTTTGTTTAAAGACAGCCTCCGAAGAAGGAGAGCCCCCCAAAATCTCCAAGGAAGGAGCATATTCCGCTGTCCAAAAGGCATTGCAAAAGAAGGAGAGTCCTCTTGGGGTGTCCACATTGCAGGATTAAAGCGGTTTGACACCACTTTTAAGTGCCGTGACGAATGAGACAAAAATGGGGAACCATTGGCAAATTCCTGTGGTCAGAAATGTCATTCAGAAACGTAAACATGATGATGATAACAAGTAGCTGAAAGTGAACCAGTTAATAGGAAAGAAGAAGAGGTTCTATTTTCCGTATCTTTTGTTCAGTTTATTCATGACTTGTATGTATTTGAATATAGCATCGTCTGTCTATCTATAACATCTCCTAATAGTATTATTAATCTGTAGGTGAACGCTGTTGTTATTATACCTTTAAGGAAGAATGTGTTAAAATGATGCTTGATTATAATCCATTCCAAACCAAAATAGGATATACTTTAAAAGGGTGTGTGTGAAGGAATAATGTTATGAAAGATAACTATATACACGCTTTATGGACAACGTTGCTGCAAGAGTACATTTTCCTGTACAAATATGTGTGTAAATATTAATAATAACAATAACATTTTATTTTGGACCAAAGTAAATAATAATTAAGTGCCATTTTGCCATCCTACAGAGTCCTGGGATTTGTAGTTTGGTGAGGCACCAGAGCTCTCTGCTAAACCGGGACGAATACCTCCCCGAACTACAAATCCCAGGATTCCACAGCATGGAGCCAGGCGAAACCGGTGCCAAACTGCTTTATTTCTGATCAATACCTGAGTATGGCCTATCTATCCATTTAGCTTTTGTCCTTCCTCCCTTTTTGCTGAATGTTAATTTTATCTCCCAGTTGTAGCTGGGTTTATTATAGAGAAAATTAAAATTATAAAGTTGGGTGGAGCAGGATGGGCCAAGAGAGAAAGAAAGAAGGCGAAATGGGTTTGGTGGGGGGGAAATAAAATAAATTAAATTAAAGAAAGAGGAGCAAAGTGTCCCATGTAAATGCATACCTGAAGACAGGGCCCCTTGTGAAGCTTTCTTTCATGGGAGCCTCAACAATTAAGCACAGCATTGTAATTATTATTATTTTTCTCTGAGGGTCAGTCATCCTGGCCCTACTAGTATTACAAAGCTTCCTTCTTTCTGTTGCCTAGTTCTGGAAGAGTAATCATAATAACATTTGCAGACATGTATGGAGAGAGAGACAGCGTGGCTTAGTGGTCGGAGCGCTGGACTACTACGACTCCCGAGACCAGGGTTCGAATCCCAGCTCGGCTATGGAAACCCATTGGGTGACATAGTTTTTTGTGGGTTTTTCGGGCTGTATGGCCATGTTCTAGAAGAGTTTCTAGAACATGGCCATACAGCCCAAAAACCCCACAAAAAACTATGTCATGTTTCGCCAGCATCTGTGGCTGGCATCTTCTCTGAAACTCTTCTAGAACATGGCCACACAACCCGAAAAACCCACAAAAAACTATGGATGCCGGCCCATGAAAGCCTACGACTTCCCAATGGGTGACCTTGGGCAAGTCACACTCTCTCAACCTCCTCAGGGGAAGACAATGGCAAACCTCCTCTGAGCAAACCTTGCCAAGAAAACCCTACAATAGATCTGCCTTAGGGTCTCCATAAACTGGCAAAGGGCCTGAAGGCACACAATAATAATAATAATAATAATAATAATAATAATAATAATAATAATGTTATTACTGATACTCTTTGCTCCCTTCTTTCAAATGACCTTTGTCTAAAGATTTGTTTTGTCTTGGGGAAGATTTTGGGGCCCAAATGTTACACTGGCACCAGTTAATAAGCAATGCTATTCACAATTGAAAGGTGTTTGTTTGTTTGTTTGTTTGTTTGCTTGTTTGTTTGTTTTCTGGAGGGCCGTGCAGCCAATTGGGCCAAATCCTGGACAGCAAAGACAATCAGGATGACTTGACCGCTGGATCACAGGCTTTTTGGAGCAAAATGGCTTGGCTCAAAACACAAGGCAGAGCCATCTAGACATCGAAATAAAACCAGAAGGAGCCCAAAATATTTTGCAGGGAGTGGTAGGATGCAGAAGGAGGGCTGCTGGCCTTTGCCCTTTGTTCAAGGGAGGATGGAGGGCCCTAAATTCTCCCCATTTCAGTCAGTTCCTGGAAGGGCTGCTGCTTTGTTCATACTGGGTTCCTTCTGGTCAAGAGGCTCGAATTGACTCTTCTTTCTTGTTTGCTTCCCTTTAAATTTATTGCAAGAGAAAGAGGAAGGGAAGTGGGGTGAGGGTGGGGGAACCCCGCCACATTTGATGCAAAACCCCAAAAGAGTGGGAATCCCATATGGAGGGAGCATCCTTCCTCCTGCAATCATCGGTCAGCAGAGATACGGAAATTAATTGGCCCCAAAGGGTTGGGAGCCCAGCCTCTCCCAGTAAAAGCCCACTCCTCACTTGATCGCCATTGGGAGAAACACGCTCCGGGGGACGGAGGGACGGGGCCTTCTCCCCTGTGGCACCCCAATTGTGGAACTCTTTTTAAACTATATCATTATTATTATTATTATTATTATTTTAAGTAGTTCGTTTCAGTCTGCTTCGGTTTTAATGATTGGTTTAAACACGTAGTTTAAATTGGTGTTATTGCACGCCACCCTGAGATCCAGCGCGCCGGAGTGGTTTGAGTGACTCTGGAGACCAGGGTTCGAATCCCAGCTCGGTCATGGAACCCACTGAGTGACCTTGGGCAAGTCACACTCTCTCAGCCTCAAAAGAAGGCCATGGCAAACCCCCTCTGAACAAATTCTGCTAAGAAACCCTGTGATGGTTTCTTTCATGTTAGGGTCGCCATACAACGAACCCTAATGAGGTCATTAGATATAGAGGGTGGGAAAGTAAAATATTTCTATAACTTTAATGAATACAGCAGCCATGTCTGCATAGCCATGTTGGCTATACAGCAAAGTACAATATCATCCAGAATCCACAAACCAGTGATACCTTTATTGGGCCAACCAAAATGCACAAAACTCATGTTGCAAGAGCTGTCAAAGCTCCACTGGCTTCTTCTTCATCGGACAAAAGAGTTAAAAATCATACAGGAGAGAGGAAAAAGTTATGACAATGTTAGTCTCAAGCCTGCATTTTGTGAAGCTGTGGATTTTGGGTGCTGCTGTAGTCGGTCAGGACTAAGTCTGCCCACAATGTACCTAAGGCTAGATCTGAACCAGATTCTGGTGGCACCTTAAAGACACACTGTAGAAGTAATGCAGTTTGACACCGCTTTAGCTGCCATGGCTTCATCCTACAGAATCCCTTTGGCAGGGAAGGCTAAGGACCTTGTAGAACTACAAATCCCAAACTTGCCTTGTTTTAAATTGGTTGTTAGACACCTGGAATCCCTATATCAGGAGAAACGCAGCATATAAATAAATGTAATCATCGTCAACATCATCCAGGATTCCCTAGGATGGAGCTGCAGCGCTCAAAGTGGTGTGAAACTGCATTATTTTTACAGTGTAGACGTGGAATATGCTCCAGAACTAGGCCTGCAGTGTATTTGGCATCTAGTTCTATTCACAAAGGACCCAAAATTTCAGAAACTTCCCATGTGATTAATTTGGTTTTTGGTTCTGCAGAGAGAAACTCCAGCAGGAATCTCCATTCAAATGTATTGGGGTTTCTTTGGTCATCTGGGTGCTTTTTGTAACCAAAAATTCCCCCCACGTGATTTTTTTTTTTTTTGGTGAATGATGATGCAAACCTGGGGGGGGGGCTAAGTACAGCCTCTGAGGCCCCCACCTGTCCTCCAAGTCCTCCCAACATCTCAAACCACCACCACCCCACACTATATTTTAGTTCCAAAATATGGAAATGGACCCTGACCCCCAGAAGAGTGTGATTTGACCTTTAAATGCCATTTCTGTCTCTTCCCGGATTGTGTTAGGTTTTAAAAAATAGTTTTTCTGAAACTGGAAGTGGATGATGGGCGGCTTCCTCTTTTTTAAAAAGTGGCTAAAACAGGGCTTTGTGGGGGGGATTTATATTCACTTAGCAACTTCTGGGTCCCAAAAACTTGTGAGTGACGTGTACAGTTTTCAAAATTGGGGTAAAATTGGAAGCCAGTAGGGTGCAGGGGTTTGAGGGTTGGACTAGGGCCGTGGAGACCTGGGTTCGAATCCCCACTTGACCGTAGAAACCTCCTGGGTAGCCTTAGGCAAAGTCACACACTCTCAAAAAGAAGGCAAGGGCAGACCCGCTCTAGTCTAAATTAATCTTGAAGCTACCTAGAATCCCATTTTGGGAGAAATGAGGGATATAAATCCAACAAATAAATAAATGTATAATTGTGCCAGGAAAACCCCATTATAGGGTCATCTTAGAGTGGCCTTACATTGGAAGCTGTAGACCGTAAGCTCCATGGGGCAGGGACCTTTTGCAGGGTGCCCTTTGCCCTGATGGCATTCCCTAAATCTTCACCATTGGAAGTAGGGATGGGGATCATCCAATCCTCTAATTGCTGATGGACTGCAAATACCAGTCATCAGCCAGCCCATCCATGGGGGGGGGGGAATGCTGGGAGCTGCAGTCAACCAGCACCAGCATTTCCTCTGACCAGCACCCTCACTATCCCCTGCCACCGATTTTGGGTTAGCAAGGGGAAATGAGGGGGTGCCTGTTCCCCCTTAATACATACATTTATTTGTGTATTGAAATATTTATCTCACAAGCGCAATCAGTATTAAATCAGGCTAAAACAATTTGAAATCCTTTAAATAGAGAGTGTGGTGTAGTAGTTTGAATATTGGACTACAACTCTGGAAACCAGGGTTCAAATCCCCACTGGGCCCTGAAACCCACTGGGTCACACTCTCTCAGCCTCAGGGGGAGGCAATGGCGTGCCTTGGCCAACAAACCTTGCCAAGAAAACCCCATGATAGATAATAGGCTCACCTTAAGTTGGAAGCTGCTACTTGAAAGCACACAATAAATAAGCAAATATGAAATGTTAACAAGTTAAAACAAAAGTTTAAAACGATGTAAAGCCACATGCAAAACCTTTCAAAGTAAGTCCGGGTGGCCCCAAAATAGCCATTTCTCTTTGACCTGTCCCCTAAACGTTGGAGCCAGCGTTGGAGCCAGCCAGGCCTCCCAAGGGAGGGCCCTCTGCCGCTTACAAGTGGGGTGCCACCCCTGAGAAGGAAGGCTGCTCCCACGCTCTCCCACAGAGCCTTGACCTCCTCCCCATAAGCCTCCCCCCATCAATGGGGGGGGGCACACAAGTTTCCGCCGTGGGGGACGGCACCCCCTTGCCCCTTTGCTCTCCCCGCAACGTCACAAGGCTGGCATCCTTCCGGTCAAGCCCCCCACAGTCCTGTCCTGGGGTCTTGAAACAAAAGGGCTTCCCCTCCTGACCCAGCCAGGACATCCCTGCCCAGCTATCCATGGGTTTTCCTGAAGAGCCCCCCTGCCTTCTTGAGACCCCACTTTCCCTTCCCCAGAAACCCCTCCATGCCTTCTTCTTCCTCTGGGCAAATCCAGCACCGGCTCCTGAGCATCCTTCCTCCCTCCCAGATGCCAAGGGCCATGGGGTGTGGGTTGGGGGGCACTCTCCATGAGGCTCCCCTCCCAAAGAGAGACCTCCAGACCACAGACAAGGTGCAAGGCCAAAGGCCAGCCGGCCTCTAGGAGCACAGACCCATCCGTGGCCTCTGCCATCTCTGTGACTCCGTGATTCTCCAGCATCCTTGGCTGCGGTCCGGTGGTCCTGGAGGGTCCCCATAAAGCCCCACAGGGCCCACGTCCAGGTTACGGGAAGGATCCTATTCCCCCTCGAGAATCAACGTGGTGCCATCATTTGAGCACTGGAACCAGAGTTCGAATCCCTGCTCAGCCCTGGAAAACAACTGGGACTCGGGTGCCTGTGAATGCTGTGGGCCCTTGGCATCCAGTGGATTGGGTCCCAGCACCATGGGTGCTGAAGTCCCCTTAATCAACCCAATGGCATAGGAAAGGGTTGGAGGGCAGCCAGTGGGTGCGGTGGTTTGAGCGTTGGACCAGGACACTGGGAGACCAGCTGGATTGGGGACAATTGTTAAAATAGTTTCTTGTAAGTTGCTTTGGGACAAAAATGAAATAATAACAACAACTATGATGATGATGATGATAATGATGATGGCAGCCCCCCATTTTCTTGCCTTTAAAAAGTGGGCAGAGAGACCCCCACAGTCCTGAAGAGCAAAGGGGTCAGGCACCTGGCCAGGTAACTGAGGGTTTTGGGCAGGTATTGTTTCATTTC